GCACAGACAGGCTGTGACTCATTCTATCTAAGAATGACTGGACTTCAGGGGATATCGTGCAGCTTCATTTGAAAATGTGACTGGTCATGATGAAAGCAATGACCGTATCTTGTAAAATTCCTACTCAGTGACTCAACATTTGTCCTCGGTTACCTTGTAACCATGCATAAAACAAATGCTAGTTTTGGGGGAGAAAAAAAAAAACATGCCTCTGTTCAACATTTATGTCAAGCAAAATGATACTTTTCCTCAATGGTGTTTCTGTAACAGAATATTGTCACAGTAAACGCATTGTTTTCTGGATACAGTGTGTGGGCCTTTAGCAGGTGTAGTCAGAACAGGCAACTTGTTTTAATATGTAAAACATAATTGCAGAGGTCAGACAGCTATGTTACACTTTTGCTTCAATGGAAGCTGAAAGTTCAATGGAAGCTTCAATGGAAGCTGAAAGTTACCCTGATTCCTATTCTACTTTGGCAAATATGCCTCCCAGCTCATCCTGAGTACCACAGAGTCACACCTACGCAGAGCCCGCCATCCACACAAACACGCCCTTCTTTATCATTTCTTTGCTTTAGCAGGCCAGTCAATCAATACAGCTCTGATGCTGTAGATCTGGTACACATATAGTGTGTAGCTGTGCCCCATTTGTTCACCTGATGACAAAAGCAGCACGCAACGTATGCTTACTCCAAAAACAGGTGGTGTGCAGTGAACAGAGACAAAAGAGAAAATAAGGGAAGAAAATCTGGAACATACACTGAACAAAATGAGTGGCACGGCCTCGCTGTGAACAGCTGAACATCCGCGGTGAAACGAACCCCCCTGCCTTTCAGGACAGTGAACTGATCCCAAAGCAGGCGTGTTTCTAAACTAGCCCAGTTTCCATTTCATTATAGGAAACACAGCTCCTAAATGTGGTACCATAAAACAGAAACAGAGGACAAAAAAGTTACAAAGCACTCAAAGCAATGTTGAGATGCGTGGGCAGTTGCAGAGCCATTTTAGGGCAGAGTCAAGCCAGTTAGGGGTTCACAGTCAGACTGGTAATGTAGGGAGGGCAGAGGCCTGTGGTGGCAGAAACCAGTAAGCCAGTCAAACAGACGCACAGTCGGATAGCCAGTGGCGTGTGTTGCAGCAGGCGTCTAGCACCATGACTCAGGGATTACGAGCTAGGAATGACTGGGGATGGGACAAAGTGCACTCACCAGGAACTCACTATAGACCACATCAAGGTGTCGTGAGAGAAACTCATGTGGCCAACAGAAAGACATGGAACAGAAGAAGAAAGGGGAAGGAGGGGGGGTGAAAAACACTGGAGAGGAATTGTGTGAGTGGGCGGGTGAATGATTGAAAAGAGTTGCCTGTTAGAAAAAAAAAATGCTTCTTGTTAATCCTCTATTCCCCCAGCCAATGGGCATGTTTTGCTTTGTTTTGGTAGTTGACTTTTTGTGGAATGTGAATAATACAAGAAGCTGTAGAAGATCAGCGGCTAAGAGAGGCTCACTAACCGTTCTGATCAACTATTTACTGCCATCATATTGGACGCACCTTGGCGGGTTCTCAACCTCCCTCAGCTCCAACCCCTCTCTCACCATATGCTTATTATTTAGCAGAGCGTGTATCTGGTGCTAACACGCCTTACTTTATGACTAAGCTTTATAAGCAAAGATTAAGGCGTGTAGTCATCAGGGAAGCGTCAAGAAAGGACCCACGCAGTATAATGGTTTTATATGGGCAACGCAGCAGATGATAGGCTGAATGAAATGGCAATGAATGAAATGCAGACTGAATGGGGGGGATAACCCATTTGATGCAACACAGTGGCATCACTGAGCAGTATGGGAAAGAAAGAATAGACAGGGTCATTGTGGAAATTCACAAACACTCACTTCTTTTGGTATCCACCCAATCTGTTGACAGTTCTGACCGGCATAGGGTGGCCCATTGATGAAGCTGGTATCTGTTGCCCTCTAGGCACAGACATGGCCTGTTCAAACATTACATGTCATATGGGTGATGCACTAAACACTGGACTGACTAATCAAGTTTTGATCTGGCAGACCAGATCGTCCTTAGTTTGACACAGCATACATTAGATGAAAAACTGACCTGTTTGCTTCATTTGGCCCGATTCATTGACAGACCACATCAAGAGAAGCCCAGATCACCCAAACAGTGTTTGCACAGCTGCCAACCAGCCACTCACACTCAAACACTGGCATATATTACACTGTGTTACTGAAGTCGTGCTGACACAAACACACCAAAGCATAAACCTGAAGCTTATGTAACCTGGTGTGTTCTGACACAAGCTGCCCCTCTCCACGCTGTACCAACATGGGAGAAACCATTAAAAAGAAAGTCAGTGAAGTCCTCCTACGAGTCATTCATCTGGCATGACCTGTACATGCTTGTGTGTGCGTGTACTGTATGTGGCAGGCAGGCAGGCAGGCGTGGAACAAGATGCCATATAAGGCCTCTCTGCAGAAGCATCAGAACTGCCAGTTACAACAAACTGCAGCGTTTTAATCAGATAAAAGTGAGCCTCCCCTCAAGCTTCTTCTATGCTTCCATGCATGCCACCCAGCAGGGCATGCTCACAAACATTCCTGTCAGTCACTGAACCCCGACCTTCAGGCCTGACGAAACAGAGAAGTAAAAGAGGGTCAACTCATTCAAGTCTAACATAGACTTGTATTGTAAATAATTGACAACTCTGTTGAGCATTAAATCTATAATTGGACAGCCATATTACAGTAAACATTGCTTGAATGTGTTGTAACACTTCCCGTGAAGCTGTTTCTTCATATCTTTAAAACTTGTCTCTGTAGAGCCGAGTGTTGTTATGGCTACATAATGCTTTCAATAATAAGCTACCAGTCTGGGTTACAATGAAGTGCTGTGCCAGGAATTGACTACTGTAAGGCCGAACAGAGGAATAACAGCTTGGTGGAACATTAGAAACTTTGTTTGGGTGTACCTCTGACCCTGGCAGTGTGTGAGCGCTTTTAAAGGAATTACCTCTGCTGGAGAGTGAGGACAGGCCCTGGGTAAGCTGACACTGGCTACACTTCCGTCGCAAAAGAAAACAAACAATATAGTAAGGTGGGCTGGAAACCACTTAAGCCTGTCAGTGGGGCATGCATGTATGTACAGTGTGTGGTTGCAGGTGTTTGGGGATAAAGAAAAAAAGACAGCTGTACTTCTCACAGTGCCACAGCTCTGTGACTGCTTGTGAAACGTTGAGCAGCCATGTCCAGTGGGAGAGCTGCATCTCCCAGTAGCAGCCCAGTTAGCCCTTGTCTGACAAATCAACAAAATGCATTCTGGCTTTTGAATGGAGAGCTTATCTCTCTCAGTAAGTTGTAAGCAAAGAGCCTTTCATAGCACTTCACATGCCTGTAACTCTGTTATGTCTTTTTAGGATTAGGAGCAGCCTTGGACATTGATAGTACATCATTTATCTTGTAAGCATGGTAATACCAAGGAGTAAACAGAGCAGCGTGTGTTTGTGTGTGTGTAGAAGAGAGCGGGAAAAAAGATGTGTTTGTGTGAAGTTGTGAACTGCTCCTTGGCAGCCTCAGCTTGACCCGAGCGCACCCAAGTGAGCGTAAGTAGAAGCAAGCATTGCGAAACGGTTTTGCAAGATAGTGCTACGCTTTGGCAACTTTACTGCAGCTGTCAGCACATTTTGTGCGTTTGTGAGATGTGTGTGTATGAATCTATGTTCTGCAGGTATTGACAGCAGAGAGAAGGTGGCTAATGTGGTGAGTCACAGCCCCTTAGTGGGTCAACACTAGCAATTAGTATCAGATTTCCACGATGCATCAATGCTGCTTGCTGCTCCACTAACAGGCTCGATGCCACCTGAGCTGCAAAAATCACAGGGGATTTGGTTTATGCAAAAAGCTGCCAAATGCAAATCATCCAAACATGCCTCCATGTGTAACATTGCTGTGCATGAAAATGAGAAGTGAAACCGCGCAAAGGTTTAAACCTCCCAATACAAAAACAGCTCACAGTTGTGGCCTTCCCTGTCTGCACCCCTGGACTACCCCTGGAGCAAGCCAAGAGTTAGAGAGGCAAGCCTCAGGACTGCAGATTCATCACCTCAGCCTGCCTGTCCTTCCCTCTAGAAAGTCAGTGTCAGCCACCGAGGAGGAGGAGGAGGTGGGGGAGGTACAGAAGAAAGGAGAGGGAGAGGAGACAGTGGAGGTGGTGGGAAGGGGGGAATTATTAGGCACCACTGCCTGACTCCCATGCCGGCTGGGCTGAATGCCTTGGCTCTCCCCAGCATGGCATGGAATATATGGGTCAGAGATGGGCGCTTACATGGGCGAGAGAGAGAGAGGGGGGAGATGGTAATAGATCTCCAGTGAGATCAAAGAAGGATGAAAGAGAGAGTTCAACAAACCTACACAGCATGTAGGGACAGTCAAAATTAAGAAATGCATGTATAAATGTAAAACTTAACCATTAGAGGATAGACAAAATCAATACACATGCAAGGGAGACAAACCCTCTGAAAATTTTTGCTGTCAAGTTGTGTTAGGATTAGCCTAGAGAACATCATACTTAATGGTAATATAAAAACTGAGATGAAACAACTTTTTCTTTCTTTTTCTTTTTTTTTTTTTAAACATTGGCACCTCATTTCAAACACAACACCACATGTTAAACGATAATCACACACCGCTCAGAGTCTGATTCATTCCATAACAACAAGAACATGTACAGTACACACCATTGCATGACTGTAGAGCCTCCGGCGTGACTGCATTTTCCTCAAGTGTTTGCGTGTTGTCCAGTATTGAGCAACAACAGCGTCTTGAAAACGCGTTCGGGACGCTGTGTCCCTCTGAGCGCATCTAATTGCCGAGAATTGACACTGTGATCGCTGTTAACGCGATTTGCCACCAGCCGGTTTGCGTTACAAGGCAACATTCAGGAGTAAGGTTAGTCTCGCCATAACTGTCAAAAGAGTTGGTATTACTCACCGTCCATCTTTTCAGCCTTTATGATTAACGTCGGTTTCATATCGACAGCTGCCGTCATGATCATCAGATCAGCGTGATTTAATAATGCCGCGTCCCTCTCTCTGTTTTTTTTTTCTTTTTTTATTCTAACAGCTCCCAAATAACACAATATAAGGGACGGAAAAAAAAATCTTCTCTTCCTTTGACGCCCCGATCAATTCAACTGGAAGGTTTTAAAAAACAAAATCTTTCTAGATCTCCTCTGTTATACTAAAAAGCTTTGACTCCTAACTTCTCTTCTCTCCCTCTCCGGAACATACACACACACACTCCCTCTTTTCCTCGTTCTTTCTTACTCACTCACACACTCACTCCTTCCTCTGTATCTCTGCCTATATGGGCGTTGCATTGCAGGGCGACGACAGCCGAAGGGGGCGGTGTTTAGGGGGCCGACTTGCCAGTTGATTCACAATTCAATTACGATCTCTCCCCCCACCACCACCACCACCACCACCCCACCCCACCCATCTACACACACACATTGGATCACACAATAGCCCACCATCACTTCCCTCGTGTCTCTGTGAGAACCTACTTGTATCCCATTCACGTCATCAGTTAGTAGTCCCCCTGTTCCCGCAAATTACTTGTGTTTTACAGGAGTGAGGAAACACTCCAGAGATTAGAGAGCTGCTGATCCGCCTCTAAAATTAAGTTTAACCCTGTTTTAGATGGCTACTATCAGATGTTATAGGAACAATTCATGCAACAGCTCCATCTTTCCACCTTTCGTGCCCAAATATTACATTTCACAGTTCCTAAATGAGCGTTTCAGGCAAACTGGAGAGCGTAAAGCACAGCAGTGGAGCACAGTATAGCTGCCATCTGTCACTTTCTAAGTTTGGTGGTAGCTTCAGAAATTGAAACAGTTCAGATGTCATTTACAAAATAGCAGTTATGCGCTAAAAGGACAGTCTGAACTGTCTCCATCCTTGAATCCTGCAGGCTCAGGCTTCCTCATAACTTGTAACTCACCCTCATAAACACCTCAGAGTATTTCCTGTTCACCTTGTACTGATCAATAAAATCCAAGCATGTCTATTTTCGTTACACTGCAGTATCAGGGAGTAAAACGGTACGTCGTGGCAAACAGGAGCAGCATAAGGCCCAAATTATATATTAATAAGGTGTGTGTTTAAAAATAGTTAAATTGTAGGTTACTGATAGGCTATCTTCCGAAAATCAATTAAACTAGGTCTCATGTCACGAAGACCAAATGTAAATCAAGTTTGAACAAGCCCAACTGCCCGTTCTAATTCTCAGTTAGCTTTGCTTCTCTTTTCCTATGTTTTTTGTGCTTTCTTATCGCCTACAATCAGTAACAATGGCCATGCCTTACTGAAAATTGAATTACAAATGTGTTCTCCCACTGAAAAAAGAATAAAAACTGTACAAACATTGAGCTTTTTAGCCACAGTAAGTCTCCACACTGTACAAATCGTTGCCATTATAGGGAACATCTCCCATGGCAACAGAAACAGTAATAACAGATTGCAATGCTATTCCTTTTAACAAAAGGAATGAAACTGAATGGGTAGTGTGGAACCAGGTTAACACAAATGCTTTCCTCCTTTTGTTCATTAATAGAACAATGTAAATGTTTTTCTTTAAGGCACCGGCCTGACTTTTCCATATTCCCAACCTAATTAGAGTGAGTCATATGATGCACATGAGTATGATACTTCTGCACATACTGTACGCATGTATGCCTAAATGGGATAATCGACTAGAAGGAGGCTTGGGAGCCAGGGATATTGATCACACATGGATTTTTAAACCGGTGGTACTTCACCGGCTCCATTAGCAGCCCTGGATCAGGTTTCATTGGCCTGATAGTAGCCTCATCTGGGAGGAGTGCTGGTGGGTTCTGCGGTGAGAGGAGCTGCATCACAAGGGGCAAAGTATAGGGGGGTGATGGAGTAGACGAATGGAAGGGGAACAGTAGCTCTCGCTTCATCTCAGCCAGTCAGTCTCTCACTCTCTCTGACTGAACCTCTTTGTTTTCTGTTAATGAACTCCCTCGTATCTGTTCTTAAAAGGCCAGCCTGGGTCCCTTTGTGCCTAAGGGCAGCCATTTAAGGTTTAATGGTGTTGCTGACTAATATCTGGGCTGGTGTCTCTGCAGCACTATTCAGTTTGGGTTTTCTTCTGACTGTCTTGACTTTTTTACATATTTTTTTTTAGTGCTATTAAAAGATTTTTCTCTTTTAATTTCCACAACGTAGTTTACTTCTTAAAACGTAAACTAGTAAATTGTTGATTATACAAGCATCATTACTAGAGTCCTGTTGCTATGATGCAGCTGAATATATTTGTCTTCCTACTACTGATCTTTTTCTCATGGCACGGACCATTGTCCTCAGACAGTCTGGTGTACAATGACCCTGAAGACAAACATATTTCTATGAACAGCACATTGACATGAATAAAATAGTGTGCATAAAAACACAGTGGTGAACTACTAAACAGTAAGTTTATCTTCATAGAAATCTCAATATCAACTGTAGGAACTGTTTGTGTCAGAGTTTTGCACAATATGAACCAAAAAAAAAACAAGTATTGTTGAAACAAACTGTGCCATTTCCTTTTTAGAGAGAGGGATTGTTAATTGTCTTACACTCATAAAACAACCAGCTAGTATGTGTAACACAAGGCCACATGTCCCAGTTCAAAAAAAGTTTTGGTTTCAGTGTCTCTTTACTTCACCTGGCAAATGCTGTTTCCATGGTTTTGACAGTTAGCAGGCTTCACTCGTTTGTGTTGCAGCGTAGCTCCCCCAGCTATAACAGCTTTTTCTCTCCTCGCCGCTCTCTGCTGCTTGCTGTCTGTCTCTCACTGGCACATCTGTGCTGTCTGGCTGCCTATAATCCTTAGATGTAACCGTTGCACCTGCTACTTTTCACAGAGTTAACTGAAAGGTTATTTGATTTAGAGCAATCCATACAGCTGTCAAGTGGTATTTGTCTTTGATGTTGGCGCCTTCGCAGTGAGTCAAAAGAGTTTTAGTTGCTATAAGTATTTAGAGTTCAGCATTATACTTTCATTCACATTTCCAAACAACACATCTGAAATGATGATTTAACTGTTGGAATGTCAAAGAGTAATGCATCTCAGACAATGATTATGACCTGACGGGAATAGAATAGAATAGAATAGAATAGAATAGAATAGAATAGAATAGAATAGAATAGAATAGAATAGAACAGAATAATTGTGTGAATGGACAGCATTTAGCATGTAATCAATCAGTCACTGAAACACACAGAAAAATGGGTGATGGACACGCACACACACACACACACACACACACACACACACACACACACACATAAAGAGCAAGAGAGAGAGCAGACAGTCAAACAGTAAAACAGTGGGGTCCTTGTGGCTTCTGTCTAGAGGCTCAGTCTCAGCTCTATCTGTGGTGGATGCTGTCTGAAGGTGCCACAGGCTGGATGCACTCCTGCTGAGATCAGAGGGTTAGGTGGGCCAGGAGTGATGTATCCCTGTATGTGTGTATGTGTGTGTGCTCGTGTATGTGAACTGTGCTTGTGTACATCTCTTTTTTGTGCCTCACATTCCAAAGTGTCTTCTAAAAGCATGTGTTTGTGTGTGTGTGAGCGCACGCTTTACTAAATTGTGTGCGTGTAAGTGCACTGAAAGTAGCAGGGCCTCCCTGAACAAAGGCTCAGCTCTTTTCTGAACAATTAGCTTCGCTAAAAAGGACATCTCTTCCTCCATTAGCGGCACCACGTGCCCCCCATCACTCCATTGTGCAGATAATTCAATTATCCCCACCCCCCTTCGAGTCTCTTTGCCTCCCAGACCTCCCTCTCCTCGTCTTGCCCTCCCTCTCTCCCTCCCTTCTCTCTGTTAGCATCAATGTCTCAGAAGAAGCTCTGCCAGTCCTCACAGCAAAAGGGAAAATATCTCTCTGTGGTTTTAATTTATTTCTTATTGAATCAATGAAGGTTGTGTGCTATAGTAAGTAGCGACACTAAAAGGAATGCTGCACTTAGAAAAGAAAATTATTGATTTATAAACACGCAGTTGCTGGATGCTGTTTTTTTTTTGTTAACTGCTGTATAAATGCTCATCATATAGAATTAGAGACAACAATTGACCTTTAAGTACTACAAGATGAACTTGACTCAGGTATGATCGCAAATTACGAGACACAGTAAGAGGTATTCACTCTTACCATAACTGCTGTACACTCATTGTAGTTAACAGTCTGTGGATATTGCTAAGCTCACGATTTAAACATTAAAACAATAGGAGGTCTCACTCGGGATTCATTAAAGCGCCACCTTTCCTGATGAGCTGGCATCTGTTGCATCATCACCCGTCAGTGATTGTACGTCTTGGAGAACTGCATGTTCTCCAGCTGAAGTGGTTTGTAATTAGTCACTGTGAGGAACTTACCACACTAACACTTCCTAGAAATAAAGCTTGTAGAACTCTGGGAAAAGGAAGTTTAAAAATTGGGTATGTGGCTGATGCTTTAAGGCAGAACATTTTCAAAATTCTAAATTAAGGAGTCGTTCTACAAGAAGGATACATAGCCAGGAGTTGTTGGTGAGGGAAAATGCATTTCTTAAGGTCAAGAGTACTTGTTTAGACAAACACTCAAATAGATGGCTTATCAAAGCAGAAGCAGTAGAAAATATTCTTGGAGATTTGATTTCACCAGAGCAGTACTTGGAGTTATGAAATTCCACAGTGACTCTATTGTAAATTGATTAAAGCACACATTCAAACCTCCTCTCTTTGAAGGCTAATGTGGAAACACACTCACAAAGTTCAGACTTCTAAAAATAAAATCCACAAATGTACAGTGCACTAGTAACAGATTACCTCTTTCCTCTGTTTATTGGCTAACACTTCTTGCCTCAGCTCTATCATCATACCATGCAGTTCAGATATAGGAGCACAGCGGCTGCGTAGCCCATTCCTCCACAGTTGTCTGTTGCTTTTCCGTGTTTCCCCTCTTGTTTTGTTTTATTGTTGGAGGGGGAAGTGTGTGGCGGCCTGATTAGCATCACTGTTTCCTCCTTTCCCATAACCCTCCAGACCCCCGCAGGCTGCCTGTTTACTTTTAGAAATAAAAAATGGGCCTGCACCCGTGAGGACGTGCCCCTCATCAGAGGCGAAGCCCCCCACCCACCCAAGGCTCCACATCTCAGCTCCTCCTCCCCTCGTCTCCTCTCCTCCCACCATCGCAGTCCCAGTCCTGTGACTTATCCCTTTCCTTGTCCGTTCTCTCTCCTCAAACTGTATTCCACCCACTCTCTTTTGCTTTCCACCCCATTCCCC